CAATCGTTGGAGAGGGATGTCATGCTGGGTAAGGTGGAGGATCAGAGAAAAAGAGGAAGACCTCTAACGAGATGGATTGGCCAGGTGGCATCATTGATGGACTCAAGTGTGGCAGCAGTAGTGAGGTTGGCCCAGGATCGGACATTGTTTCGTTCTGCTGTGCATGGGGTCACTATGAGTCGGTTCCGACTCAATGGCACCTGATAACAACAATGAAACAAGGTATATGATTTGTTGAATGTAAAACTGATGATATGCCCTGTAAACTTTCACTCAATCCACAAAAAAAACCTTAAATTAAAAACAAAACAAAACAACAATCTATGATTCTTATGTGGGGGTGACAATAGGAGGGAAAATTATTCAAAGGCTAGAGTGTAGACACTTGTTATCATGGGTGACAAGAGAGAGGTTAGTCAAGGAGAGATGAAGGTAGAGGGAGACCCAGGGAGGAATGCAGTAATCAAAATGAATAGAGGTAAATACTGCTAATTGATGGCACATTGAGAGAAGATTGCAGTCATTATAATGAAGCAAAATATATGATTTGCTGAGCGTAAAATTGATGACATGCTCTGCAAACCTTCAGTTTATAACAGTTAAAAAAAAAAGAATTTAATCAATGTCTCTGAATTGTACATGTGAAAATTGTTGAATAGGTGTTATGCTTTTTGTGTATATTTTCACCAAAAGAATCTTCCCTAAAGATTTACAATCTTGGAAACTCTATGGTAGGCATATAACACTCATATAAAAACATAAACACTCATATAAAAATATAGATAAGTGAGCTCTTTAACTGAAATTCTAGTTTTCTTTTAAAATCTCTAATTTAGTTTTACGTACCTATAATGTTATCCAAATGTAATATTTTTATGTTTGAAAAACATTTTTTAGGCCATTTCTTTGCAATAAAATATGTATGCATTAAAGTAAAAAAGTTCCTGTAAGACTCTGTGTGTCAGAATTCTGAACTGAGTAATCATTACAATTATCTTTAATATATGTTGTTGTTATTGTTAAGTGCCTTCAAGTCTGTTCCGAATCATTAGTGACCCTGTACAGGGTTTCCAAGGAATAACTGGTAGATCCGAACTGCCAACTTTGTGGTTAGCAGTCAAATGGTTATCCGATAAATGATCATAATGGCACACTTAAAAATTTTGATAAATATTAAACTTTAAAAAAAAAAGTTTTATTGTGAATTACATGATAATTTACATGGGAGAACATTAGCTTTGCATTCATCCTATTGTATATCATTTTATTGCCATGGTTACAGTCTCCTCCATGCATCATCAACCAATCAAAGGGCATACCCTGCAAGCATGCCCCCCACCCCTCCTCCCCGGTCCTCAGCACACAGCCCCTCTCCCTCTCTGGGTCTAAAGTCTCCAGCTGCTCCATGTCTCCACGTCATCTTCTCTGACTCCATCTCTGGCTTCTCTGGGTAAGGTCTCACACTCCGCTCTTCTCCCTTTATGGTCCCAGGGACCTCTGCTCCTAGACTGCAAAGTCAATCACTCCCCTCCTTTGGTTACAAAACGTCTAGCTATACATTTCCAACCCTCGCAATCAGTCCTGATAACAATTATTCACTATTGTATCACAAGAGACCTATATGCATCTCCTTTCATCAGCCCTGCCCAGATTGGATACTACTCAGTGGAGATTCTACCTTCCTCCGCACCCTCTGAATCCTGGCTCCCTCTTAAAAGCTCATAATCAGTCTCTTCTTGCCTTTGTAGCCCTCTTCCCCTCCCTGCCCCACTTTGGGTAGCCAATGTCCAAGTTGCCCATCCCTGTCTACTCTGTGTATGGAGGGGGTGGGAATGATCCTCACTGTAAAGATTTGTTCCCTCTTTTGAGCTACTGCATCATAGGTGTAGGTCAAGTTCATCAAGTTGTATCAGATTACTCTTTTTTTCCCTCTTCTTTCTTATTCTAGTTGAGCTCTGATCATCCAGTCATTGAAGCCAGGTCAAGTGGGTATTATCTGCAAGTGTGGGTGCTCTTATGCACATGCCCTCTCTTCTTATCACTCTCCACTCTAGTCCTCTGTGGCTATGTCACTGACTCTGGGCCCAAGAGTACCCAGATCTCGTCATACTGCTGGCCAACCAGGTCTCTACCCATGTTCACAAGAGTCTATTGAACATTGTAGGGCTTAGCTCGCAGCTTCTTTGCTGTTTTTCCCTCACTTCTCCTTATTGGTGATGAACGTGGTCACCAACCAGAGCGTGTATTCCCACTGAGTCTTAGTCTTGGAAGGGAGTTTGCACTGAGGGGACCCAATCACTTGCCTTGATGTCTCCTGGGCGAGGAACTTGCTTGTTCTTGTAGGAACTTGCTTATTTTTCCTGTCGGTCTTTCTGTCAAGAATTATCTCTGTTCTTCTAGCTGCTCTGCTTGTCCTTTCAAGTGGAAATTTCCCACCTCAGAAGATTTTGTATGGGGTTCAGGATTCCACCTATAGTCTTATGTATTGCAGAGGCTCCGTAGGAAGGCTCCTCCTTCACTGGGCACTTTGTAGCCCCATTTTAGGTATTCCAATCAGTTATAGACAGAAGACGGACATGCAAGGTTTCTATGGTGATGTTTCTGGCTATTCCTTTCTTTTCCCCTCAAGTGTCTATTTTATAATGGTATGCCAGGGACACCAAGATTCAATAGACAGCCAAGCATCAAACATTAAACTTTTAATGTTTATTTTATCACTATAAAATAAATTAAAGGTAAAACATCATTGGAAATGCATCTCTTATACTGTAATATTGAGATACATGAGTATTCAAATACTCTAATATTATGATACCCGAACTCATGTATCTGAATACTATTGTGACATGCTGGTGTGATGGTTCTGACTCATAGTGGCTTTTTGGTCCAGTGCTTTATCCCAGAGTGCCACAACAGGACTCCTGTATATCAGTGTATCTGAATATTAGAGTCTAAGAGATGCATTTCCAATAAATTCTTACCTTTATTTTATTGTGATAAAATAAACATAAAAAGTAAAGTGTTAGAGGGATGGTGTTTTCTATCATGTTAATTCTGTATCTGAATATTTCTTTCTACTAGTTTAACAGGGTTAAGTTTCAATTCTATTCCCATTTTATTTTCATAGATGTAAGTGCTAAGAAATATTATTCGGGTGCTATTAGTTTTATATAACAAAATCAATTCTTTGATTTCCTTTTGTATTATAGACCATTTGTTGTTAAATGCCAATGAATCACTTTAGACTTCTAGTGACTCTGTATAGGGTTTTCAAAGCAGTAAATCTTTGTGGGAGCAGAAAACTTCATCTTTCTTCTAGGGTGTGACTGTTGGGCTCAAACCACCGACTTTATAGTCCACAGTCAGTGTGTATTATATGGAGTTACAGTGCTCCCAGAGACCAAATAGTGTTCATCAAAATTTATTTCTAATGATCCATCAGTTGACAATTATGTGGCACTGTCAGTTAATGTGCTGGACCACACAGTCACTTTGAATCTTAAGGGTGGCAGTTCAAACTGCTCCTAAGAAATCCTATACAGGGTAGCTATGAGTTGGTAAGGACTCAACCGCATTTAACAAGAGGCATTTAGAAAGTGTTGGGAAATTAGAAATGTTAATTTCAACACAGCTTTAGCATTATAACATTTAGATATATTTGTCAGAAATTTGAAGCTGCAGATTTAACACAATTATTGAAAATGATAATTCTGTGAATTAGCAACACCAGTCTTCTCCTTGTCAAACTAATTAACCACATCAGACTTACTTTCAGTTTGAAAAATTCTGACTTCACTTTTTAAAGCCAAAGAAATGTGTTAACAGGCCTCCCTGTGACTACTTTTCACGTTTGAATCTCAAGATTCAAGATTTGCTTGAGTTGGTCCACTAGATGAAGATACTTTTGTTTCAGGTAATTCTAACCTTGTTCTACTTGATCTGTTCCAGTGGACTCTCCCTTTGGCAAAATGCATCTTCGGACTACTTTGGGGTAGATGAGATATTTAAATGAAAGTTTTCATCACTACCGACCACTCTATAATATTCCTGAATTCATAAAATCCCGATATAGGCCAAAGAACTCCACTTATAATACCTTGTTTTGCTCTTAATTGTCCTTTAGTCTTAACCTTCTCCGGTTTGAACACCACTAGTTTAGAAGATCATGCTTGGTAAAGCAGAGGATCAACGAAAATGAGGAAGATCAACGAGATGGCTAAGACCAAACAGCGCTTCGTTCGACTGTGCATGGGGTCGCTGAGTCGAAACGGTCTCCGGAGCACCAACCAAGAAGTTTGTTGCTGTTGTTAGGTGTAGTCGAGCCACTTCCACCCATAGTGACCCCAAGCACAACAGAACAAACACTATCTACTCCTGTGCCATCCTTACCATTGTTACATTTGAGCCCATTACTGCTGCCACGGTGCCAATTCACTTCGTTGAGGCGGGGTCGTTTTCTCTGACCCTCCACTTTACCAAGTACAAGTTTGTTGTTGTTTCTCAAGTACTGTTGGAGAGATCATTTTTAGAGTCTGAGAAAATCGACTCCCTACCCATCCTTCCCCGCTATCTCAGGGCGAGAGTGGCGGTACAGTGTCACTTCCCAAAGAGCCCCAATGAACTACCGGACTGTCAGAGTGGGAAGGTACGCCGGAAACCGCATCCCAAGCCCGGAGAAGTGAGCCGCAGATAACCAAACACAGAAAACTCTGCCGCGCTATCCAGGAGAGACGCCGGAACCCTGGGCCCGAGCCCAGCGATTTTGGGAAGATGTAAAAAGGGTGGTATATCTCTAGTCACTAGACCAGAATGAGCGCGGATTACTCTTAGTTTGGGGGCGGAAACCCGACTTCTGAACTCCCGCCCACTTTGAACCGGAAGGGAGGAACGTGGGGCGGTTCTTTTTCCGGCACAATTCCGGAAGCCCTAGGGGGCGCCGTAAGGGGAAGAGTGTTTGTGTGTCACCACGGGTTGCGCGGAGGTGTGGGATGGGGGTTGATTACCGGTGTAGAGGCTCTAGGGAGGGACGGATATCGCTGTGACGCCGCGGAGCCTCTGTAGGGGAAGAGTGTCGGTGTGGCATCCTTGCACGCTGAAGGAGCCGGCGGAACCCGGTGGCCATGGGGATGTTGTCGTCGCTGGATGCGATGTGGGAGATGCCTGCCGAGAAGCGTATATTTGGGGTTGTGTTGCTGTTTTCCTGGACAGTATATCTTTGGGAGACCTTCCTAGCACAGCGGCAGGTGAGCCTAGACAGGGCCCTCCTGACCCCGACGCCTGGCCAGCTAGACACCAGACCCCGACATCTGGCCAGCCCTAGGCCAAACGACCCCAAGCCATTGGATAATTGCACCGGCCTCTGCACCAGCGGCTCCCGCAGTCCCTACTAAGCCTTGGTCCAATGGCTGCTTGTGCCTTGAGGGGCTGTTGGTGCCTCAGGGAAGTTTTATTCACCGATATCGTGGGACCCAAGGAGAAAGGGAAGGACTACCGACTTACTAGGCTTGAGTTCTTGCCCCTGTCCCGACTTCATTAGGATTCTCTCGCCCAGATGTAGCGTCCTTTATCTTTGGCAGCCACCCATAAGCCTTTCCAAAAGAAGTAGCTAAATTTTTAGAATTACATCTTCATCATGCACTTGTGTAATCATACTCAATTGTTGGATTTAGGGAACCATTTTCTGAAAATAAGGATTTTGCAATTCTTAAAGGACCTCTCTGACCACTTTCATCTTAAAAATGTCTTTATTATTTTTGTTTAAAATGTAAAAAAGTATCAAGTTACTTGATAGCAACTCCCTGGCGATAACCATAATGAACAGTTGGGTGGATTAGTGATTGGGGTATCCGCATTTTTAAATGAGATGGATTTTGATTGACATTTTTACTTGTAATCTTTTACTGTTGGTTTGTTTTACCAATGCTTTACCAGTTTGTCTCTGAATTATGTTTACCATGTGATGATTATGAAAATCTTTCTGTGTTTAGCTGCTGGAACTCACCCATTTTCTTTCTTTTCCTTTCTCTTTTTTAACTTTGCCGCCTTTTTCCTTTGTACATTGTTTTCTGTCAGTTTACATTCTGCATGAGTCTTTTTGCTGAAAGCTGTAATTTTTTTCTCTATCCGTTGATATCTAGGTTATACCTTGATCTCTTCTTCCTCCAGCCCAGAAGATGCAAGCTGTATGTCTTCCTTTCCCTCACACAAGTCTTTGGTGGTGGTGGTGGTGGTTATGTGTCATGGAGTCTCTTTGGATAGGTTCATTACATAGAATTTGTAGACCTACAGAAGACCCTTGGCATAAAAAAGTGTCCACATTGGACATCTGTCTGTCTTATTTAATAATAAGGCTAGTTACAGTAACTAAGGAGCTCTTGTAGCGTAGTGGTTACAAATTGGGCTGCGAACCTAACTAAGGTCAGCAGTTCGAAACTACCAGCTGTTCCATGGGAGAAAGATGAGGCGTTCTGTCCCATAAAGATGTACAGCCTTGGAAACCCTGTACAGGGTCGCTATGAGTCGGAACTGACTCCACGGCACATAACCACCACACCATCACAGTAACTATTTTTCAGTAGCGTCTCCTTTATTGAATTATGCTTTATTGATAGGTCCTCAGTTTTTATTGAGGGTTTGCTAAGAAGTACAGTATATAGAAAGCATTTGTTTAAAAATCACTGAAGAAGATGCTGACCATTATGTTTTTTTAACATCTGCTCTTTACATAGGTCCCCTGGTCTGAAATTACATTTTAGTATTTGATATCATGAAAAAGTTTCTTTTTCTAGAAGACCTGACATGTTTCTGTCACTTTCCAATTTCCCTTAATTTGGTTTCCAGAAACTTCAGGGCCAAATTGAATGACCAGCTTCAATATCTGGTAATGCTCATATTTAGCATATTTGCTTCCTTCTCCTTTCGTGAATTTGTTTTTTATTTTATAACCCACTGCCATTGAGTTATTCTGATTCACAGCAATTCTGTGTATGGTTTCTGAGACTGTAAAGTTTTACAAGAGCAGAAAACCATATCTTTCTCCCATAGAGCATCTGGTGAGTTAAAGCTGCTGACCTCAAGGTTAGTAGTCCAGTGCTTTTCCTACAGCACCACCAGGACTCCTTTTCTATTAGCGTAGTGGTTACTAGTTGGGCTGCTAACCTTAAGGTTAGCAGTTCAAAATGAC